ACAGGGTCTTGCTATGTTGCCCAGTGATATGGTTGGCTGTGTCCTCACCCAAATTTCCCATTATACTCCCCAATTGTCAAGGGAGGGACCTGGTGGGAAGTGATGACTGGATCATGGGGGTGGTCTCCCCTATGCCGTTCTTGTGATACTGAGTGAGTTCTCAGGAGATCAGATATTTAACAGTGTGGCACTTCCCCCCTCACTCTTTCTCTCCTTCTGCCTTGTGAGGAAGGTGCTTGCTTTTTCCCTTTGCCTTCCACCATGATTATAAATTTCATGAAGCCCCCCCAGCCATGAGAAACTGTGAGTCAATTAAACCTCTTTTCTTTATAAATTGCCAATCTCAGTTTGTTCTCCCCACCCCCACTCCCCAAGACAGGCTGGAGTGCAGTGGCACGATCTCAGCTCACTGTAACCTCCACCTCCCAGGTTCAAGCAATTCTCCTACCTCAGCCTCCCAACAAGCTGGGATTACAGGCATGTGCCACTATGCCCCGCTAATCTTTTGGGATTTTTAGTAGGGACAGGGTTTCAACATGTTGGCAAGGCTGCTCTCAGAACCCCTGACCTTGTGATCCACCTGCCTCCCAAAGCCCAAAGTGCTGAGATTACAGCCATGGAGCCACTTCACAAGGCCTCCAGTAGTCCTTTTTTTTAAAGACAGAGTCTTGCTCTGTCGCCCAGGCTGGAATGCAGTGACATAATCTCAGCTCACTGCAACCTCTGCTTCCCAGGTTCAAGCAATTCTCCTGCCTCAGGCTCCTGAGTACCTGGGACTACAAGCGCATGCCACCATGCCCGGCTAATTTCTGTATTTTTGGTAGAGACGGAGTTTCACCGTGTTGGTCAGACTGGTCATTTTAACTTCAATGGTGCTAAAAGGTTTCTGACACTTGAAAAAAAATAGTTTTTACATGCTTTATAAAAATTAGCCAATTTCAAGGGGAAAAAATATTTTACTGAACTGGAGAGAAAGGACAAATTTCCACATAGATGCAGTAGGCTAAGTCAAGATGGTTTAGTGCTGAGAGACTGTGTACCAATAGAATACCATACCTCCTACTCACATGAGAGAGACACACACCTATATTCCAAATGCATCAGCATTCACCTATGTACTACATAATTACATGTATTATCCTTGGTATACAAAAATTCTGTGGACTAGCTTACTTTTCATCCAAGACTGTTGACAGGTAGTAGCAGTGAATCACATATTCTCCTGTCTCATCTGCCTTACGATCAGTGACATACGCTGCCAACATCTCAGGTTAAGAATACGAACTGAGGCTACAGATTTTCTCCTTCCCATGATGCTAAATGTTACCTCCACACAATATGAAATGGTCAAACTCAGCATCCAAGTAACTGCCCTGACCCAAATCTGAAGTAAACCACAGAAACATGGTATTTTTGCTTGAGTAATATGACATAATTACTATCAAAATGCTGAACATCCTTTTCAGGCAAAATATGCTGATAAATACTAACCAATTTTTTTTTTTTAAAGACTGAGTCTCACTCTGTCACCGAGGTTGGAGTGCAGTGGCACAATCTAGAATCACTGCATCCTCCGCTTCCCGGGTTCAAGTGATTCTCCTGCCTCAGCCTCCCAAGTAGCTGGGATTACAGGCACCTGCCACAACACCCAGCTAATTTTTGTATTTTGTATTTTATATTTTCACCACGTTGGCCAGGATGGTCTCGATCTCCTGGCCTCATGATCCACCTGCCTTGGCCTCCAAAAGTGCTGGGATTACAGGCATGAGCCACCGCACCCGGCCACTAACCAGATTTTTTAGGAGACAGCCATAATTTCAAATATTTGTCTCATAAACCATCAAAATCCTAGAACACCAATAATTACTACAGTACAAACTGCATATCCTAGAATACCTCTATAACCAAAACTACTTTGTCAGACAATGTATCCATATTTACAGTGCTGAATATATGGTCTCCATAGATAAATACAGCATATAGAATTATACCCATTTGGCAGAGGTCTTAAAAGTCTAGTTGGAGGCCAGGCTCAGTGGCTCACACCTGTAATCCCAGCACTCTGGGAGACAGAAGCGGGTGGATCACCGGGGGTCGGGAGTTCGAGACTAGCCATGACCAATATGGAGAAACCCTGTCTCTACTAAACATACAAAATTAGCCAGGTGTGGTGGTGTGTGCCTGTAATCCCAACTACTCGGGAAGCTGAGGCAAAAAAAATCACTTGAACCCAGAAGACAGAGGTTATAGTGAGCTGAGATTGTGCCTGCACTCCAGCCTGGGCAAGAAGAACTAAACTCCATTTCAAAAAAAAAAAAAAAAAAGAAATCTAGTTAGGAAGCAAAATAGAAACATTAAAAGATAAACTGAAATCCAGGCTAGCATATTCTAAGAAAGTCTCACACAGGAGAAGACTGAATAGATCTCTTGGGGTTAAAGTCGTCAAAAAAAGCTTCCCCAGAGACAGGACCTCTCTGGGCCCAGAATAGTCTCCATTAATACAAACAGAAGAGGATTTCAAACAGAAAGAATGGCATAAAGAAAGGCCAAGAGGAGGGACTTCACAGGAACAACAAGAAGTTAGTGTGGCTAGAATTAAGGATTCACAAAGAAATTAGAGTTAGTACTGGAGAATGGACCAGGGCCAGACTACAGAGAAACTGAACCACCACACCAAGAAGCTTGAATTTTATTTTGCCGGTATGAAGGCGTTTTCTCTATGTCTTTATGTTGTGATGCGAGGAGGGAAGAGTGTTCAAATGTGGAATATATTATTACCCAAAGCATAAGTAGAGCACAAATATTCCAAATCGAATACCAGATCAATGAAATCAATGAGAGAATAAGTATTCAAAGCCCAGATACAAGTGAGTATTATGAGAAGGGAAGAGCAATGCCCAAATAATAAAACTGAACCAAATTAGGCCAGGCACGGTGGCTTATGCCTGTAATCCTAGCACTTCGGGAGGTTGTCTGAGGTCAGGAGTTCAAGACCAGCCTAACCAACATGATGAAACCCCGTCTCTACTAAAAATTCAAAAATTAATAGGGCGTAGTGGTTTGCACCTGTAATCCCAGCAGCTATTCCAGAGACTGAGGCAGAAGAATCACTTGAACCCAGGAGGTGGGGAGGTTACAGTGAGCTGAGATCATGCCACAGCACTTCAGCCTGGGCAACAGAGTAAGACTAGACCTCTGCCTCTGGGGTTCAAGAGATTCTCTTGCCTCAGCCTCCTGAGTAGCTGGGATTACAGGCACATGCCACCATGCCCAGCTAAGTTTTTCCATAGTTTCAGTAGTGGTTTCACCATACTGTCCAGGCTGGTCTTGAACTCCTGACTGCAGGTGATCCACCCTCTTCAGCCTCCCAAAGTGCTGGGATTGCAAGCGTGAGCCACTGGGCCGGCCAGTGGTCTACTTTTGTAATTCCCATTTAAAGTTTACATCTATAATAAAGTACATGCGCTCTCACTGTATCAATTACACATATTAAGCAATTTGCCTCAAATATCGTACAACTGGATCATGAGTTTCAAAACTATGTTAATCCTCAGACTTTAAATGTGACACGCTATAACCCCATCGGTGTACAGATACAGATCAAGGCCATGAGCTTAAAATATATTACCATGAATGAGTTCACCATACTAACCCAAGCACATTTCATGAGTAAATAAATGAGTGTCCCAATGCTCTGAGGCATTAATAAACGGTGTTGAAACAGCAACACAAATAAAATCTCTCATGACATTCAAATAATATCCTCCTCAAAGAGCAAATGTGTCATTACTGTTCTACTACCTCGTAAACTCCCAACAGCCCAATAAAAATGTTATGAAATTTTAGTATAAAAAGACTGCCTATCTTTAGAACCAAAAGTCAAGACGATTCTAAACTTGCTTAGAAATTTTAGAAAATTACCTCATTTAATTCAAAATAATAACAAGGAGACAAGATCCAGCTTTATTTTTTCCAGAGTTCAGATGACTTTCCCAAGACCCTTGGCACAAGCCAAGATCAAAATTCCTTGTGGTTTCCCCTGGCTTATGGTTTGTACACTGAGTCATCCATAGTTGATCAAAACAGGGGTACTGCTGGATGTTGCACAAGTGACAAAGAAGTTAAAACACACAGGTAAAGAAATCACTCATTATATAACATGTCCCAGAGTTAAAGATTTCTCTCAGGCCAGGCAGGGTGGCTCACGACTGTAATCCCAACACTTTGGAAGGCCAAGGATCACCTAAGGTCGGGAGTTCGAGACCAGCCTGACAAACATGGAGAAACCCCGTCTGTACTAAAAATACAAAATTAACAGGGCAGTGGGGCGCATGCCTGTAATCCCAGCTACTCGGGAGGCTGAGGCAGGAGAATTGCTTGAACCTGGGAGGCGGAGGTTGCGGAGATGGCGCCATTGCACTCCTCCAACCTGGGTAACAAGAGCGAAACTCCGTCTCAAAAAAAAAAGATTTCTCTCCAATTGTGTTCCTAAAACAGTATCTTTGTACATTAGATTTATTAACAACATCATCATAAACATGGTGAAACCAAAATATTGGTAAAGATGGGGCAGCACTTAAACTGTTAGTCTACGGAGTTACAGAAAAGGGGATCAACTGACAAATACACAATGCTCAGCAAGAGGGTTTCAAAACACCAGTGTATCTCAAAGATAATGGGCCGGTTCAAACTTCCAGGCTTAACCTAAACTGCCCGTCTCTTGCGCTAAATGCCAGCATTCACTACAGCTCTTTTGTCTGTGAAACGACCCACACCAAACCACAGCAGAGAAAATAACAGATCTTGCACTGCACTCCTTACTGCGAGCAGGAGGGGTAGATGAACCTTTCCACTAGGTCCAGCTCCTCCTCCCCCACCGCCCCGTCGTCCCCCACCTTTATTTTCCTAGAAATGGCAACTGGAGGCCAACCGCAGGAGATGGAAAGGAAGCGGCCCAGGGACCAAAATACAAGTTTGAAGACCAGCACCAACTTGTGGCGATGGACCCGAGCGTTTACGGCCTATCGCGGACTGGGAGCGAAGCCCCACTCGCCGACCCGTCTCCGGCAGGAAAAGAAGTTGTGGGGAAATCTGGCGGAAGAGCGGCGGCGGGGCCGGCACCGCGTCCAGCCGCTGGCGGCCGGCGGTCGGTAAACAAGCTGGGCGGACCCGCCCTCCCACAGCCCCCGGGCCGTCCCCGCACCCGGAGCGCCCAAGATAGAAGCTCCGGCAGCAGCGACCCGGGCCCCTGCCCTCCCAGCGCCTGGGACGCGGCCGCCCCCGGAGTGCCGGGCGGGCGGCCCGGGAGGCCCGGCGACCTGGACGCCGCCTGGGAGCAAGGGGCCCGGCAGGCCGCGGCGGGGCGCCCCCCCCGGGGCCCGGTTACCTGGCGGCGGCGACTCCTCCTCCAGCTCCTGCTCCTCCTTCTCGTCCGGCGGGCGCTCGGCGGCGGCGGCGGCGGCGGCGGCGGCGACTCCCCGCGCAGCCCGAGGCGACGAGTCGAGCCCGGCCCCTCTCCGCCTCCCTCCGCGCCGCCGCCCGCCCCGCTGCTGCCGCCTCCGCCCTCTCCCCTCAGTCAGGACATGGTCTCCGCGGGCCTGCGCGCGGCTCCCGGCTGCCGGAGGCGGGGGGAGAGGGGCAGAAAGGAGGCGCTGAGGCTGGGGAGCCCCGGGGGCCGGGGCCAGCGAGGTACTGGGGGCAGCCGCGGGCGCTGCAGACCCCTAATGGCGGCGGCCGAGGGACCTGGAGCCAAATAAACCCCGCGGCGAGCGGCACAACGTCAAGGCCAGACTCCGCCGCTCGCCGCTCTGTCATTGGCCCTGAGGCCGCCGGCTGCGCAGCCAATGGGCGGCCGCCTCTTTCCGGGCGTAGAGGGCGGGTCGAGACTGGGACACGTCATCCCGCGCGCGGCTCCGATTGTGAGTCGGCGGTCTGTTCCCCTCCGCGGCTACCTACGGGCCTAAGGGTGCCGGACCGCGGCGGGGTGCTCATCGCTTGTGTTCGCGGACTGACGGCGGCCCAGAGGGCGTCCTCGGGCGGTGTCTGGATGCGCGCTTTGCCTCTTCTCTGCGACAGATGCGCCAAGTCAACCCCCAGGTCTCACGTCTCTTAAGTGATCTACTTACAACTCAGATGCTGCTTCACTTTTTCGTAAGGAGTTTGAAGCTCTTGATTCCAGGGAAGACAACGGTCTAGGTGCTTTGTGATGGTTTGATATTTTAAATCTATGTTTTGCAGTGTCCCATTTTTACCCCTGCCTTTGCGGGGCCTATCCGTGGGTATGGGTGTATGTGTGTATTTCTCATTGCTCTCTGCATGGTACGAGTGTGCGTACGTAGATAGACATGCGAAGAAAAGTCATGGAGTCCTTCCCTCGCTGTCCTCCACGACTTTCCTGGCTCTAGTCTTGGGAAAATCCAACCTTCTTATGGCTGCCTTTTCTGTAAGTTAAAAATAAGCCGTTCCTGATAAGCCTTATTTCTATAAATAAGGCTTACCTATTTTCAGGCAGAAGATATATTTCAGCTATGGAAAAAATACTGCTTAGGACAATCCCCTGGGACCAAGTTCGAAACAGAATATGTGTATTTCTTTCTTTTTTTTTTTTTTTTTTTTTTCTTTTTTTTTTTTTGAGGCGGAGTTTCGCTCTTGTTACCCAGTCTGGAGTGCAATGGCACGATCTCGGCTCACCGCAACCTCCGCCTCCTGGGTTCAGGCAATTCTCCTGCTTCAGCCTCCCGAGTAGCTGGGATTACAGGCACGCGCCACCATGCCCAGCTAATTTTTTGTATTTTTAGTAGAGACGGGGTTTCACCATGTTGACCAGGATGGTCTCGATCTCTTGACCTCGTGATCCACCCGCCTCGGCCTCCCAAAGTGTTGGGATTACAGGCGTGAGCCACCGCGCCCGGCCTTCTTTCTTTTTGTACTATAAAAATAACCAAATAACCAAAATAAGCCAGCCAAGTGTTCAAACCCAATGAGTATGTGAAATTGTTCTAGATAGAGGGACTTTACCTTGCTGTTTTCATACTTTAAATTTTGTGAGAAGAAATCATTTGAGGGATCATAAAAGCCAGCAAGTCTTTAAAAGTTGTAAATTTAAAAGTTGTCTGTTAGAGAAAACCTATACTACTGCCTGCCAAAGGGCATTTAGCAGTTAGATACCTCAGGTCCTGTCATTATTCAGAGTTTCATCAGATTTTTAAAATTTAAATGGCACTTCATTTAGTAAAACTATTCGTGGTGTTCTTACTTTTTCTTTGCATAAATATTGGTCAAGGATGTGTGTACAGCTTCACTAAGGCTAGCAAAGAATAATGCTGTATCTTATATAGTTTCCCCTCTCCAACAAAGTATGTTATTGGCATTTTTTATTCTGTTATGTAGAGATTTTTGACAATCCTCATCTGCCCAGAGCAACATTATTTATTCAAGGACTTGTCAATAAATTGAGTTTAGACTGCAAGTCTTTTGCCTGCAAAACTTTACATTCTCAGACATATAATTAAGACAATTGTAGATCAGATCAAACACCATGTTACTATGTTAAGAACAATAGTTCAAACATTTCAACTTATTTTCTTTAAGAGCTCCTGAATTCTTCCAACTTCCCCTTCCTGAATCAAGACTGTAGAGCCTCTCAGTTACAAGCTAACAAGAATCACAGAATTAGGTGTTTTTGTTTCACTTGGGTTGTAGTTTGTTTTGGTAAGGAAATGGGATATCACTTGGATAAAGTTTATTAACTCTTTCCTCCTTTGAGTAAATAGTGAATGTCACGTACCAATGAAAAAGAAGCCCACAGAGATAAGACACATCTTAGTGAGGAAACTACAGCATAGAGGAAAAAAAGTAAGAGAGAAATAACTGAAATTACATCCAGTCATAGTGGCTCACACTTGTAATCCCAGCACTTTGGGAGGCCAAGGCAGGTCGATCGCCTGAAGTCAGGAGTTTGATACCAACTGGACCAACATGGTAAAATCCCGTCTCTACTAAATATAAAAAATTAGCTAGTGGTGCTGCATGCCTGTAATCTCAGCTACTTGGGAGGCTAAGGCAGGAGAATCCCTTGAACTCCAGAAGCGGAGGTTGCAGTGAGCTGAGATTGTGCCATTGCACTCCAATCTGAGCAACAAGAGCAAAACTCCATCTCAAAAAAAAAGAAAGAAAGACAGATCTGTAATTACAAGGTAAGGTAGAATGTGCTAAGTGAATTCAAGTAAAAATTATCTCGTAATTAAGAAGAAGAGTGAATCAAAAATGACTCCGTGTTAAAGCCAAAAAGACGTTTGTTATCAGTCCAGTGATTTAGCTTTAGCTATGCATTAGAAACACCTGAGAAGCTTTTAAAAAATATAAAGATAGGCCGGGCACAGTGGCTCACACCTGTAATCCCAGCACTTTGGGAAGCCAAGACAGGTGGATCACCTAAGATCAGGAGTTTGGAGACCAGCTTGGCCAACATGTTGAAACCCCGTTTCTACTAAAAAATACAAAAATTAGCTGGGCATGATGGCATATGCCTGTGGTCCCAGCTACTCAGGAGGCTGAGGCAGGAGAATTGCTTGAATCCAGGAGGTGGAGGTTACAGTGAGCCAGGATGGCAATACTTCACTACACCCTAGGCAACAGAGCAGGACCCTATCCCCCCAAAAAAAAGGACTTTTATAGTGAAGTGTAGAGACTGTATAGTTTTGTTGATAGTTTGTTCTAGCTTTCAGTTGTTCCCAAACTACCTGTAGAGGATATAATTCCATTTTGCAATTTTGTGAAAGTTTTGAATGCAAAATTGGAGATCTGTAGTTCCATTAACAGTAGAAAGCCATAAAGAGGTTTTGAGCAGGAAGGTGCCAGTATTGGAGCTACCCAGCTTTACCTGGAATGTCTGTGGGACAAACAGAGACAGAATTAGAAATAGGGGGCCAGGTGCTGTGGCTCATGCCTGTAATCCCAACACTTTGGGAGGCTGAGGTGGGCAGATAACGAGATCAGGAGATCCAGACCATCCTGGCCAACATGGTGAAACCCTATCTCTACTAATAAAGTACAAAAAAATTAGCTGGGCATGGTGGTGCACACCTGTATTCCCAACTACTTGGGAGGCTAAGGCAGGAGAATTGCTTGAACCCAGGAGGTAGAGATTGCAGTGAGACGAGAACGCGCCATTGCACTACAGCCTGGACAACAGTGCAAGACTCGGTCTCAAAAAAAAAAAAGGTAGAAATAGGGGCAGAGAAGAGACAAGGACCTAAAACCAAAGTAGCAGTGGGAATGGAAAGGAGGGGCAGAAGTGAAATGGGGGACAGTGGAATCCTCAGGATTTGCCAGTGACTAACTCTGGGGCAGAAGAAAGTCAGAGAATGGGCCAGGAGCAGTGGCTCATGCCTGTAATCCCAGCACTTTGGAAGACCAAGGAAGGTCATTTGAGGCCAGGAATTCGAGACCAACCTGGGCAGCATAGTGAGACCCCATTGCTACCAAAAAAAAATGTTTAACTGGCCAGGCTCAGTGGCTTACACCTGTTGTCACAGCTACTCAGGAGACTGAGGAGGGAGAATTGCTTGAGCCCAGGAGTTCAAGGATGCAGTAAGCTATGATGATGCCACTGCACTCCAGCCTGGGCAACAGAGCAAGATCCTGTCTCAAAAAACAAAAAACGTCAGGGAACTCTGAGTGATGGCACTATGTGCAACAGTGGGACACACAAGAGAGGAACTGGGTCAGAGAAGATGTGGACCCCTGAATCAGGAGATCCTGGACTCAAGAGGAAGGGAGCGGCTGGTGGGAAAGTGCTAGTCTGAAATGTATAGGGTGATGCTGGAGATCAACATCAGGGAGCTCTCTATGTAGAATTTCCTACAGAAGCAACAGGAGTGGGGAAGAAACAACTGCCAAAGCTGGGGGAAAAGGGCAGAAAGGTAGGAAATGAAGCTGGCAGTACAGTGTTTTGGAAGCCAAGGGTCCAGTGAGCCTCAAGCACATGGTGATACAAATTGTCAGATGCTGCAAATTTTGAGCATTAGAACTGAGGAAAGGTCACTGGATCTGACAAACAAGAGACTTGGTGACCTTCTAGAGAACAGTTCTCAGTAGGATGGCAGGGAGCGAAGCCAAGTTTCAAGGCCATGTGATTATAACCAGCAGTCCAAGACGTCTGGCGGGGAAAGGAAAGCAGGAGACACAGGAATAGCTTTGGGCAATAACAAAAATAAGGGTAAGGTTTTGTTTGCTTTTCTTTTAGGTATTTATCTTAAAGAATGGGTGTATCTGAGCATTTTTGTCAATGGAGGAGATACGTAGATGGGATAAAATGACTGAAATCCAGAAGGGAGGTAAAATTCAGAGCACAGTGATTTGTGTTGCAAGCAAGAAAGCCCTATCTTCCTCAGAATTGAGAGGAAACCGTGAGAGCTCCGGGGAGGTTTCGGTGGGAGAGACAGAGGTGATGGAGTGGACTTCAAACCCTTTCTCTTCCTCGGTGAATCAAGCACAGAGTCTCCCGCTCAGGATTGCTCTGGGAACTGGAGGAGATTTGGGACAATAGTTAGAGGGACACAAACCAAGAAGAATGAAAAAAGGAAACAAGAAACCACTTTCTCCAAAAAGTCTTAGCAGTCCATAGTCAGGCCTAGAACGGAAAGGTCAGGCTGTGGAGCCCCCCGAGGTGGACATTTGCAGCTAAGAGAATTTGAAGGCTTTCTGCCGAAGGAAATGGTAAGGGGTCCAGCTTGCTTAGGGTCTTTGGGAAATCTGTGCTTTTAAGCAGAAAGTATTATAAAATGGGTGTTTCCCTCAAAAGAAATGTTACAAGTGTTCAGTTGTTACAAGAACAAGTTCTTGGAAGTATTGCAGAAAGTGTCATTTGTATAAACTGCAACATATCTTGCACTCACTGTGTATGATCAACATGATTCCCCAGTGGGAAAAAACCTCTTAACAGTAGAAGATACAGTGTAATAGCCTGGGCGCAGTGGCTCACGCCTGTAATCCCAGCACTTTGGGAGGCTGAGGTAGGTGGATCACCTGAGGTCAGGAGTTTCAGACTAGTCTGACCAACATGACAAAACCTCGTCTCTACTAAAAATACAAAAAATTAGCCACACATGGTGGCAGGTGCTATAATCCCAGCTACTTAGGAGGCTGAG